TTTCACAACGAAACACACAGCATCTCCACGACATGGCGGGGGCGGCAACAATACTACAGCGAGAATCAATTAAGTTACGCCTTCTTTCTTTACGTGAAAATTTGGGCGGTGTTATGCAAATCTTCCCACACAGTGACGTAGATATGTGGGGGTGTGTTTAAACGAGGCATTTTAGGAGGGCGTGGACGAGTCTTAACTTTTATAAAGAATATCTCTTTGGGTTTGAGACTTTAGTCTTTGCAACTTTAGGGATCTTATCTATGCACTAACAGCATGTAACACTCCAAAGAGAAAGGAAAACTTGAAATTGCATCATATGACCCCTTTAAAATCTATCTATTATCACCAATCTGCACTGTACAATATCAAATGCATGTACGGTATGTTACAGTCATACAGACCAGAAATTCATCTTTCTGAACGGTCTTTAGGAGTTCAGTAAAACTTGATGAGCTGGCTGTGAATGTGACTCACGTGAGGGTTTTAGTCTTTGTGCTCGAGAGAAATAGCATGGCGGTAACATCCCAGCAGCATCTCCAGGGGTCAGGAGTACGCCATTCTCCGACCAAAAAAACGGAATCCCATCTGAACATCAACCAGAGGGATCATTAGCACTTCAGCACTAACACTGCTACTTACTCAACTTTAAATAGCTTTTTATGATTTCTTGATACCTGAAATAGCTTTTGCAACATCAACGTACACAGCCAGATCGCAACTCTGTCTCATACCTAAAAACAGAAAAGAGGCCATTTGCATCACTAAATAATCAATGTATATATTAAAATTACATTTAAAAATCATATTTGCATATTCTGTACACATAGTCTTGGTCTTGACTGATTTCTGCTATCCTAATTGTACCAATTAAATAAGTAAATAAATAAATATCTATAACTCTCATGAAATAAAGACCTCTAGAAATGAATTTAATCTGCATGCTACTCACCACTGATGACTCTGCCATCTCCAGGAAGCCCGGATGCCAGGTGCATGTGAGTTCTGTTCATTCTGCTGATGCCCTGACTGCGTATAGAGGGCCAGTGTTTCATATATGAGCCATGAACCGCTTCTCTTGGATAGTCTGGATCATCAAGTGCTACTGCTCTCAACTCCAGATCTGTAACCTTGAAGAGACACATTGTGTAACAACATCTATCAACTTATGCAGACTTGTCAAGCAATTGCTCCAGTGACCATCTCCAATTTTTTAAAACCTATTTCTAAAATTAAGATTGTAGACTTTACATGACCTCTGAACCAAACCGACCTGCACTGAGTGACCCTGATTGGCTCGTATCTGAAGATGACCATCCTCAGGGTGGTGGCAAAGCTTGAATCGCTGTTTGTCGTTGGTGGCCACCACTCGCTCCACATCCTCCAGTGAAAACGAGTGGAACTGCTTATGAGCAAGTAGTTCCTCCACAAATACAAAGCCATCTGTGGACAAGGTCACAATTACAGACGGACAACAGGGATGATAAAAAACGAAATCCAAGGAATTATAACTTATGAATGAATCATTTGTTTTCTTGTTAAACAACAACAGTAATCATCCTATGCTCACACAAAATACCTACATAAAATACCTACATAACAATTCTGTAAGCAGACAGGGTGGGTGTTCTCATGTGGGTGTACAATCATCATCATCATCAATCCTACACTAGTTTATGGATATCATCTCTCACCCGAGTTCATCTGCAGACCCATCTTACTCGCACCGTGGCGTAATGCATAAGACAGTAATTTAGACAGTCGCACATCTCTGCTCTGAAAGACGCAAAATAGAAATATAACATAATTCATAACTGTGCACAGATTGAAATATAAAACAAAACAAAAAAAAACAAAAAAACTTACACTTGTTAAATAAGAACCTATATTAAATAATTACGGTAAAATTGTGATTACCATAGTAAATGTTTGTGTAAAAGTAATAAATTCACCTCTTCATTTCGGTTTCCTCGCCCTCCTCGTCCTCTCCCTCGAGGTTGACAGTCCATTTGCGACACACTTGTGATTGTATCATTCACCAACACAGCTATCAGATATATGCAGTTACATTTGATTCGTGTAATTCTTTACATCTACATCTTTAAACAACTAACAACCATTTAACGTGGGTTATTCGTCTATACGAATACTGTACATTTAAACTCCTTTCCAAATGCTTTCGTTGCTGAAATTCCCCGTCAACCGGAACAGAGAAGACAATGCGAGAGGCATTAGCATCCAGCGGCCAGTAGGGCGCAGTAAAGACTTCATTTTTTATTTTCTAAAAGATTTTACACCATCTAGCGGTGGTAAATGCACTGATTTATGAGTTTTAGACGAGGTGTAAACTAGCGATAAATCATTTATAAAACATAACAATAAATTAAAATAAAATCTTTATTTTTTTTATCTTTCGTTACCGCCCAACAACTTAAAAAGAAATAAAAGTTTTGTTTTGTAATCAATAATTGTTAAAGAACGACAAGCAAATTATTATTATTATTATTATTATTAAAACCAAAATATGCCCCACCCCCACACAGAGGTGCATCAGTCGTCCATCTTTGTGCGGGGCATCACTGCGTCTTTCAGTCGTCCATCTTTGTGCGGGGCGTCTTGCGGACTGTCACTGTGCCGTGTGGAGCGACAAAAACACTGCGAGCTTACGATCTAAAAACAAAGACCTGTCCTGATCTTACGACGTTGCTTTCTGTTCCGAGAGCTCGACAACATGTACTTTAACCGCGGTTACCCCGTCATCGCCTGCTGCGTTGTGGCCGGGTTGGTTCTGGGTTTAGAAGATGGCCCGGATCGCCCGGTAATCGGAGCTCCGGGATCCTCGGTCCGTCTGTCGGAGTCAGACCCGGGGGTTATGAAAGCAGTCAAATTTGCAGAGGAACGATATAATATGGGCTCCAACGCGATGCACATACGCCGTGTTAGCAAAATCCTTTCGGCCAGCAAACAGGTAGAATTATAAATAAATAATCCGTTAAAATATCTAATATCTATGTTATTAACGGGTACAAAACCATAGATATAATTATTGTTTCTGTTATTGTTGATATATATTAATGTTTATTTTTTATGACTTATTATTTTACGTGATTCTGATATTGGATAATAAGTTTATTATAAGGATTTTTTTTTTTTTTACCGCATTCATGTGGAGCGTGCGCAGAAGCCTCAAATACATAACAGTGCTGAGCTGATTTAAGCAGCACCACTCTGCGCACATTTTGCGCATTTGTTCATTACAGTAGTTCAGAGGAAAGCTGCTTACTTTTGAGCAATGAGCATATAGGAATGTCTTTAGGAATGTCTTTTTTTTTGCAATATCACAAAGATACACAAACATTAGGAAATCAAACAAGAACAAGTGGGGGATACAATAATTAAAATAATAATAATTAAAAAAAAAAATTCTATAAGATGGGACATTTTTAAAGTTTTTTTTATTGGAGGAGATTTTTAAAAGTGATGAGAATAGCGAATCAGAAGCGAATATTTTGCAATAAGGTTTAAAGTTGAGATATCTTGCTTTGTGAATGTGGTATTTACCCATCATACAAATAAAGTCCAGGACATCGTCTAGCTCCATATTATCAAAAACATCAGAATGAAAAAGAACTTTAACTACAGAAATGTTACACAGACGGAAGCAACAGGATGGTCTATTTAAGCGTCCTGTTGTATAAATACTGCTGATATAACAAATTTGTGTATTTAGTTATAGGAATTATTAGAAAGTAATCTTTATCTATTAAACATGTCAATCTTTACTGAGGTATGTAACAAATGTATTAAGATTCTTTATAGAAGTTTGATATTATGCAACCATAATTATTTCTCCATTCAAAAAAAAAAAAACATTTGAGTCTTTCATTTCTGTTCCGTGTCTTCCACAGCTGGTAAAAGGTGTTCGGTACAGTATTATGGTTGAGATTGGAAGCACTCAGTGTAAGAAATCCCTAAAGCTGAGCGCTGAGGACACCTGTGACTTTTTCCCAGAGCCTCACAAACAGAAGGTAAGCAAATACTAATCCTTAAACCATATAAAACATCACTACTCAGTGTCTTGTAATGGCAAATTCAGATGATTCTTTAACAGTCAATGCACAGCACACAACACATTTAGGGTGGAATTTCATTTTGTCCATTATTAGAATGTTTGCAATTTTGATTTTGATTTCACGTTCAAAATAATTCCATTCAGTAGCACAAATCCAGTATGATAACCCCATGTTATTTGCTCATTTACATAAATGCTGTTCTTGTAATTTTACAATGCACATTCTCTCTCCTGATCAGCCCCATTCTCTGTCTCTCCACAGACAGAGGTCTGTTTGTTTGAGGTTTGGGACATTCCCTGGGAAAATAAATCCACCCTACTTAAACAGAAATGCCAGCCTGCGGGTCAGTAGCCTGGGACAGATGGCACATCTGTCAGCTTCATGTAATCCAAATCATCTAGAACAGGGGTGCCCAACCCTGCTCCTGGCGATCGACTGTCCTGCAAAGTTTAGCTCCAACTCTAATCAAAGACACCTGCCTTTAATTTTTAAGTGATCCTGAAGACCCTAATTAGTTGCTTCAGGTGTGTTTGATTAGGGTTGGAGCTGAAATTTGCAGGACAGTC